AAGAAGCAGAAGAAAGAATCTCAGAACTCGAAGATGAAATGGTAATTAAAGGAAAAACAGAAGAACTATTAATTAAACAACTCAAGACTTGTGAAAAGAAAATGCAAAAAACTCACTGACCACATCAAAAGACCAAACCTGAGATATGGGCATCAAAGAAGGAGAAGAGGTGCAAGCAAAATGAATGCGTAATATATTCAACAAAATAATAACAGAAAATTTCCCAAATCTAGGGAAATCTATTCCGATACAGATGCAAGAGACCTCCAGAACACCAAACAGACCAGATCAAAATAGAACTACCCTCAGCATATCATCATTACAGAAACTAGAGAAAGAATATTGAAGGCTGTAAGAGAGAAAAAACAAATAACATACAAAGGTAAACCCATCAAAATCACAGCAGACTTCTCAACAGAAACATTAAAAGCAAGAAGAGCTTGGGGTGAGATCTTCCTGGCACTGAATGAAAATAACTTCAACCCCAGGATACTCTACCCAGCAAAACTATCATTCAAAGTAGATGGAGCAATAAAAGTCTTCCATGATAAGCAGAAACTAAAACAATATGTGACCACAAAGCCACCACTACAAAAGATTCTTCAAGGGATTCTGCACACAGAAAGTGAAACCCAACATAACCATGAAAGAGCAAGCAGCACCAAACTACAGGAAAAGAAAAGGCAACACAGTAGAGAGTAACATCAAGTTAGGTACACACAATCAAACCTTCAAACAACTAAGACAACTAAATGACAGGAATCACCACATACCTATCAGTACTAACTCTGAATGTTAATGCACTTAATTCCCCCATCAAAAGGCAACGTTTGACGAAATGGATTAAAAAGGAAGATCCAACAATTTGTTGCTTACAGAAGACCCATCTCACTGACAGAAATAAGCATAGGCTTAGGATGAAAAGGTTGGAAGAAGATTTACCAAGCCAATGGGCCCCAAAAACAGGCAGGAATAGCAATACTTATCTGTGACAACGTAGACTTCAAACCTACATTGATCAAACAAGATAAAGAAGGACATTCCATACTAATAAAAGGGGAAATAGACCAAAAGGAAATAGCAATTATCAACCTATATGCACCCAATGTCAACACACCCAATTTCATCAAACATATCCTGAAGGACCTAGAAGCATATATTAACTCCAACACAGCAGTCGTGGGAACTTTAACACCCCATTATCATCAATAGATAGGTCATCCGAACAAAAAATCAATAAAGAAATCCTAAATCTAAAATATACCATAGATCAAATGGAACTAGTTGATGTCTACAGAACATGTCATCCAACTTCTACACAATATATATTCTTCTCAGCAGCCCATGGAACCTTCTCCAAAATAGATCATATCTTAGGGCACAAAGCCAGCCTCAGCAAATATAAGAAAATACAAATTATGCCATGAATTCTATCTGATCACAATGCAATAAAACTAGAACTCAACAAAAAAAGAAAAGATAAAAAACAGGCAAACAGCTGGAAACTGAATAACTCATTGCTTAATGAACAGTGGGTCATTGATGAATTAAAGAGGAATTTAAAAAGTTCCTGGAAGTCAATGAAAATGAAAACACAATCTACGGGAACCTATAGGACACAACAAAGGCAGTCCTGAGAGGAAAGTGTATAGCCATGAGTGCATATATTAAAAAGACTGAAAGATCCCAAATCAATGACCTAATGATACATCTCAAACTCCCAGAAAAACAAGAACAAGCAAATCCCAAAACAAATAGGAAAGAAATAAAAAAAATAAGAGCTGAAATCAATGAAACAGAAACAAAAAAACATTCAAGAATTAATGAAACAAAAAGTTGGTTCTTTGAAAAAATAAACAAGATCAACAGACCCCTGGTAAACCTGACTAAAACAAGGAGAAAAAAAACTCAAATTAGTAGAATCAGGAATGCAAAAGAGAGATAACAACAAACACCATGGAAGTCCAGGAAATCATCAGAGACCTATATTCAAATAAATTGGAAAAACTTAAAGAAATGGACAAATTTCTAGATACATATGATCATCCAAAACTGAACCAAGAGGATATTAATCACCTGAATAGATCTATAACACAAAATGAAATTGAAGCAGCAATCAGTCTCCCTAAAAAGAAAGGTCCAGGACCTGATGGATTCTCTGCTGAATTCTACCAGACTTTTAAAGAAGGACTGATACCAACCTCCTTAAACTGTTCCACGAAATAGAAAGGGAAGGAAAACTGCCTAACACATTTTATGAAGCCAGTATTACACTTATCCAAAACCAGGCAAAGACACCTCCAAAAAGGAGAACTATAGGCCAATCTCCTTAATGAACATTGATGCAAAAATCCTCAACAAAATAATGGCAAACCGAATTCAACAACACATCAAAAAGATTATTCACCACGACCAGTAGGCTTCATCCCAGGGAATGCAGGGGTGGTTCAACATACAAAAATCAATAAACGTAATAAACCACATTAACAGAAGCAAAGACAAAAACCACTTGATCATCTCAATAGATGCAGAAAAAGCCTTTGATAAGATCCAACATCATTTCATGATAAAAGCTCTAAGAAAACTAGGAATAGAAGGAAAGTTCCTCAACATTATAAAAGCTATATATGACAAACCTACAGCCAGCATTATACTTAACGGAGAAAAACTGAAACCATTCCCTCTAAAATCAGGAACCAGACAAGGATGCCCACTATCTCCACTCCTATTCAACATAGTACTGGAATTCCTAGCCAGAGCAATTAGGCAAGAAGAAGGAATAAAAGGAATACAAATAGGTAAAGAAACTGTCAAAATATCCCTATTTGCAGATGACATGATCCTATACCTTAAAGACCCAAAAAAACTCTACTCAGAAGCTCCTAGACATCATCAATAGCTACAGCAAGGTAGCAGGATATAAAATCAACATAGAAAAATCATTAGCATTTCTATACACTAATAATGAACGAACTGAGAAAGAATATATGAAAACAATTCCATTTACAATAGCCTCAAAAAAAATCAAATACCTAAGTGTAAACCTAACAAAAGATGTGAAAGACCTCTACAAGGAAAACTATAAACTTCTGAAGAAAGAGATTGAGGAAGACTATAGAAAGTGGAGAGATCTCCCATGCTCATGGATTGGTAGAATCAACATAGTAAAAATGTCTATACTCCCAAAAGTAATCTACATGTTTAATGCAATTCCCATCAAAATTCCAATGACATTCATTAAAGAGATTGAAAAATCTACTATTGTTTGTTATTTATATGGAAACACAAGAGGCCACGAATAGCCAAGGCAATACTCAGTCAAAAGAACAATGCAGGAGGTATCACAATACCTGACTTCAAACTATATTACAAAGCAATAACAATAAAAACAGCATGGTACTGGCACAAAAAACAGACATGAAGACCAGTGGAACAGATAGAGGACCAGATATGAAGCCACACAACTATAACCAACTTGTCTTTGACAAAGGAGCTAAAAATATACGATGGAGAAATAGCAGCCTCTTCAACAAAAAACTGCTGGGAAAACTGGTTAGCAGTCTGCAAAAACTGAAACTAGATCCATGTATATCACCCTATACAATATTAACTCAAAATGGATCAAGGATCTTAATATCAGACCCCAAACTCTAAGTTGATACAGGAAAGAGTAGGAAATACTCTGGAGTTAGTAGGTATAGGTAAGAACTTTCTCAATGAAACCCCAGCAGCACAGCAACTAAGAGATAGCATAGATAAATGGGACCTCATAAAACTAAAAAGCTTCTGTTCATCAAAAGAAATGGTCTCTAAACTGAAGAGAACACCCACAGAGTGGGAGAAAATATTTGCCAGCTATACATCAGACAAAGGACTGATAACCAGAATATATAGGGAACTTAAAAAACTAAATTCTCCCAAAACTAATGAACCAATAAAGAAATGGGCAAGTGAACTAAACAGAACTTTCTCAAAAGAAGAAATTCAAATGGCCAAAAACCACATGAAAAAATGCTCACCATCTCTAGCAATAAAGGAAATGCAAATTAAAAACCACGCTAAGATTCCACCTCACCCCTGTTAGAATAGCCATCATTAGCAACACCACAAAACAGGTGTTGGCAGGATGCGGGAAAAAGGAACCCTCTTACACTGTTGGTGGGAATGTAAACTAGTACAACCACTCTGGAAAAAAATTTGGAGGCTACTTAAAAAGCTAAACATTGATCTACCATTTGATCCAGCAATACCACTCTTGGGGATATACCCAAAAGACTGTGACACAGGTTACTCCAGAGGCACCTGCACACCCATGTTTATTGCGGCACTATTCACAATAGCCAAGTTATGGAAACAGCCAAGATGCCCCACCTGACGAATGGATTAAGAAAATGTGGTATCTATACACAATGGAATTTTATGCAGCCATGAAGAAGAACGAAATGTTATCATTCGCTGGTAAATGGATGGAATTGGAGAACATCATTCTGAGTGAGGTTAGCCTGGCCAAAAGACCAAAAATCGTATGTTCTCCCTCATATGTGGACATTAGATCAAGGGCAAACACAACAATGGGATTGGACTTTGAGCACATGATAAAAGCGAGAGCACACAGGGAGGGGTGAGGATAGGTAAGACACCTAAAAAACTAGCTAGCATTTGTTGCCCTTAATGCAGAGAAACTAAAGCAGATACCTTAAAGCAACTGAGGCCAATAGGAAAAGGGGACCAGGAACTAGAAAAAAGGTTAGTTTAAGAAGAATTAACTTAGAAGGTAACACACATGCACAGGAAATCTATGCGAGTCAACTCCCTGTATAACTATCGTTATCTCAACTAGCAAAAACCCTTGGTCCTTCCTATTATTGCTTATACTCTGTCTTCAACAAAATTAGAGATAAGGGCAGAATAGTTTCTGCCAGGTATCGAGGAGGTGGGGGCAAGAGGGAGGGGATGGGTGGGGGGTAAGAAAGGGTTGGGGGAAGGGGGGAGAAATGACCCAAACATTGTATGCACATATGAATAAAAAAATAAATAAATAAATAGACACTCTCTACTATCAACATATTTCATTCAATGATTGCAATTTACTGGGATAAAATACAAACTTACGTGTCATACACATTGAGCAACCAGTTGAGGCACATATCCACACAGAGGGGAACATTGACCAGGTCCTTGTGCAACTGTTCAAGTCCATCGTAAGTTGTGGTCAGACAGTTGATGACATCGGGGACACTGAGGAGCTGGTCGTTTTGGTTCAGCTTGTGCTGTTTGAAAACTTCGTTTGTTGTATTCAGCTCTAAGAGATCCACTAATCAGGTGAGAAAAAGAATTGTGTGGTCATTGCATTGCATGCCAACATTAAAAAAAAAGCATTTCTAGTCTCAAGCACTTAGCTTCATGCTTAAATGTCAGAATTTATCTTTCCAGTTCTCTTCCATTGCCAAAAGCATGACCAGCATTTCCAACCTCTTCTGTATCTACATTTCCATGCTTCTGAGAGTGAACTCTACAGATTTTACATCTTTTCTCATATTTTGCTCTTTGGAGTATCAATTTTTCCTCCTTTCCTTCTCTGGTATTTCCCTCTTTAGTCTCTTTCTTGCTTTAAATATAGAAAGGCTTATTACTCTCTAAATCCATTCCAAATGATAAAACATTTATATTACTATATCGGTCTCCTCATCTTAATTCCTGGAGATGCCTGCTTACTGCCTCCCATGCATCCTTTTTTAAATAATTATTTGATTTCATAATGATTTATTTTATTTCATATTACTTAAATTTATTTTTTAAACTGATACATAAAAACAAAGTGATTATACATATTAAAGGAGTGCTAGTGATCTTTATATATATACATATATATCCACACTTATGTGTGTATATATATTTATCTATCTATATATATATATATATACACACATATATATCTATATATATATATGTTTAAATCCAGTTAAACAAATCTATCTGCTCAAATATTTATAATTTTTTAAACAGGGAAAACTTTCAAAACCCTTTCCTCTAGTTTTCTGAAATGTAAAGTACGTATGTGTTAGCACCTGGTGCACCAGAACTTCTTATTCTTATCTAACTATAACTTAGTACCCACTGAACAACCATCTTTCATATTACTACCAAGCTTAGTTGTCCTTAGGACAGTTTTTTTTAAACGTGTATATCATGACATACAAAGTTACTGAAAGCGGTAAGTTTAAAAGTAAAAATGAAACCCCAGGTTCTGCAGAAACTGAATGGCTCTCCACTGCCCAGAGAGAAGAAGTTAGAATCAGGCCTCATCAATGAGGCTCCCACATATCTGCCCTGAACCTGGTTTACTTCCTATGATGCTCCTCCATTCAGGCAACCTATGGTGAATTTGTACAGGTTCACAGAACACTGGCCTTCACATATTTATTTGCTCTGGTGTGTAAAACACCTACAGTAGGCGAGGACAGTGTTAGAGTATGTAGAGTGTGCCAGAGCCCTGATCTTTTATTTTTTCTTTTATTATTCATATGTGCATACAAGGCTTGGGTCATTTCTCCCCCCTGCCCCCACTCCCTCCCTTACCACCCACTCCGCCCCCTCCCTCTCCCACCTACCCCCTCAATACCCAGCAGAAACTATTTTGCCCTGATTTCTAATTTTGTTGTAGAGAGAGTATAAGCAATAATAGGAAGGAACAAGGGTTTTTGCTGGTTGAGATAAGGATAGCTATACAGAGCCCTGATCTTAAAGACATATTGATAACTTTACTAAAAAGAAAAGGGCCCTAAAAGAGGAATACACAGCTCTCCATGAGAGATAATACAGGATACGTATCCATGATTAGGAATGTTTGGGACCAGAAGTGTTTTTGATTTTGGATTTTTCTGAATTTGGGAACATTTGCATATGTGTAATGAAATCAAATTTGGGGGCTAGGACACAAGTCCAAACACAAAAATTTTATGTTTCATATGCACTTTATATATATAGTCTGAAGGTAACTTTATACAATATTTTCAGTGCACCTGAGTTTTCACTGTGACCCCATCATACAAGGTGAAATATGGACTCTTCCAATTGTGGGATCATGTCAGTACTAAAAATGTTTCAGATTTGGAGCATTTCACATTTCGTATTTTTTGGGTTAGGAATGCTCGGAGCCAGGACAACTTGAAAATTTCCCTGGGGAGGAGGAATTTGAAATGGGCATTGAAAAATAAATAAGCTACAAGAGATTCATGAAAGCAAGGAAGGCATTCAGGAGGGAATGCTGCTTGAGAAAGGAATGGCAGACCCATTTTGCATCTGTGGCTCGCACATGACTGCTGTATGGTTACAGAGAAGCACAAACAGGTCGTGGGCCAAACACATATTGCCTTCAACAGCCAAAACAGGAGTTCAGAAAAAAATTATTTTTTTGTTGGTTTGTTTTTTTAAAATCAACTTTGAGTCATTCATTAGCTCACTGAAAAAAGAAACAAAGCAGATGATCAAAGTGCTGTGTGTCTACACATTTACTGAGTGTGGAAATGGCCCTTCCAAATCTATGCATACAGGGACAGAAAATTACAGAATTCACACTACCGTAAGGTCTTCTCATGGAAATTACTTTTCTTTAAAATTCACCCTCTCTATATTTTTCTTTTTGTATTAAAAGAAATCTCAGTGGAACATTTGAAATGATATAACCAACTACTTTCCTCTTGGCCTAACGAGAAAACTGTTTCCTTAAAAAAATAAGGATGTACGTTCTGAGTGAGGTTAGCCTGGCCCAAAAGACCAAAAATCGTATGTTCTCCCTCATATGTGGACATTAGATCAAGGGCAAACACAACAAGGGGATTGGACTATGAGCACATGATAAAAGCGAGAGCACACAAGGAAGGGATGAGGATAGGTAAGACACCTAAAAAATTAGCTAGCATTTGTTGCCCTTAACGCAGAGAAACTAAAGCAGATACCTTAAAAGCAACTGAGGCCAATAGGAAAAGGGGACCAGGAACTAGAGAAAATGTTAGATCAAAAAGAATTAACCTAGAAGGTAACACCCACGTACAGGAAATCAATGTGAGTCAATGCCCTGTATAGCTATCCTTATCTCAACCAGCAAAAACCCTTGTTCCTTCCTATTATTGCTTATACTCTCTCTACAACAAAATTAGAAATAAGGGCAAAATAGTTTCTGCTGGGTATTGAGGGGGTGGGGGGGAGAGGGAGGGGGCGGAGTGGGTAGTAAGGGAGGGGGTGGGGGCAGGGGGGAGAAATGAACCAAGCCTTGTATGCACATAGGAATAAAAAAAAAAAAAAAAAAGGATGTATTTTGACAATTAACCAGAAAAAAAAATGGATAACTTCCTTTGCATGTATCTATTCCTAACCATTAAATAACTACTAATTTTAACTTTTAAGAATAATTATGAAACGTGTCTATGCTAGTTTCTTAAACAACATAATATTATTTTTTTCAAGTGTATACAATGAAAAAGAACTGCCTTTAAAATTATACAGACTGAAACAATGCCACATGGATGGCTTAGAAAAAAAGAAAACACTCAATACAAAACATAAAAGTCTGTGAGATATCAAAGATATCATTGAGAAACTTAAGCAGATAAAAACATGACTTGCATAAGCTTCACATGAGTTAGATGGTGTCAGAAAAAAACCCAAGAACCATCTGGAACTTTCATTGTCATTTTTACCCCATTTCTTGGCACTCTACAATATTTTTAATTGTGAACCTCTGGACAGCAATAGCAAAATTCATTCTCCCCACTGCCTGACAATGGGAAGTACTTAATAAAAGACAGTAGCTACAGAATACAATTCCCCACAGATACAAAGAAATATATTCAAATACTGCCAAAATGCTCCAAGTCCTCTGAATTTCAACACTAATTATGCCAGCAACACAGCACTCTTACTGGATCCCCACATGGCAAAAGTGACAATAGAGCACATTCCAAAAAGACCTTTTCCTGAATTGGGCTGTTTTTCACTTCTTTCAGAAAGTCTCCCTTGTTATAAACTCTGTAACTGTGACAGTAATTTGCCACATCCCACAGACTATCATGCCTTCAATTTTCAGTGATTTATGCTGACACTTTGCCTCAGTGCCTAAGCCAAGCGTACATCTTCCTGAAGTGTGTCACATTTAGGTACCTTTAAAGAAATGACTACATTTAAATCACAGAAAATTATGATTTTGTCTTTTCAAAGAAAGACAAATGACAGTTCAGTCATGCAGTAAGTGAAACAAACAGCAGAATCATTTTCTAAGCAACTTCCTCTCTTTTTCTTTACTCCCACATATGGAGCACAAGGGATCAAATGGAAATGCATCATCATTCTCCTTTTTTGCAAAACAACTGAAAAGCTTAGCACCTGACTCAGCCTTTTCTGACTCTTCTTCAGGTCTCAGCTGTTTGCCTGTTTTTTCTTATGTCCTCATTCCTAAGCACCAAAGAAATACAGGTGGAGCTCAAGGTTTCATACTTGCCTTCCATTCTATAAGCCTACTGTCCTCAATCGCCTCACAAATTCCATGATGCCTTCTCTCTAGGTGATTTCAGATTCCCTTTCTCCTGTCTGAACACCAGACCCACATTCCTATTGCTGGGTAGCCTACTAGAGGTATACCAACTCTTTCTGGAACCTCTACCTTAGTGTGTTCCAAAGAAAAGTTTGCCTTTTTCTTGTGCTGAAATCCAGTCTACAGATCTTGAGATTTCAGAACTCTCCACAATTTACCAACTACCAAATGCCTACCCCACTAGTTTGCCCTCAGACAGTCTTATAAATCCCATCTGTTGTCTGCCCTTCCCTTACCACCAGCCAGCTCAGTCTCAGTCATCATTGACCTGAACCATCCATTCATCCCCTAGACCCTCTCCTTCAAACTTAGGTATTATCTAACACATACATCCTTCCTCTTCTTGCCTTTTCTCCAAACTCTCGCAAAACAGCTTTGTCCAGCTCCCTGCTCTCTAAAGGAAAATATCCAACATTATGAGAGCTTGAGAATCAAACTGCTAAAGGAATCAGAACAGTTTCGGGAAAGAAATGACCTTTGAACTGACCTAAACTGGATGTAAGGAAATTTTGGATACTGGACAAATAGCTAAGCTATTCCATTAAAACCCATTACTTGGTGTTTTCTGTTATGTAACCCTACCTTTGATTCTCAAGCATATAACCCCCTCCATTCTTATCCCTGATCAATAGCCACATGCCTAAATCCCATGTGGCTTCTATAGTCGGGCCAGTATGTCTGTTACCCAAGGTCAGTGGCTCTCTTTGTGATGTACTTCCCTTTGCTTCTCTGCTATTGTTTGCCCCAAGAAATACTTAAATCAACATGCAAAATATGTGTGTGCGTGTGTGTGTGTGTGTGTATAATATATGAAATACATGTGTGGTTTGAAGAAAAAATAGAAGAAATACCCATTAATCTGCCATGCTATAGAAACAGAATATGCCCACATCATGGGGATCCTTTAGCTTAGAAATCTTCCTTAATTATGCCCCTCAGAGAGGTAACTGCTAACCTTCAACATTTCTCTTTCAGTTCTTAAAAGTATGTTTGTGTCCCAAATAGTGTAGCATTTAGTTCTGCATGGTTTTGAACTACACAAACACAGAATTGAACTGTACAAGTTTCTTCTTGATTTTTCTTTATTCAACTTTGCAGTTCTAACATTCACCATGCTGATGCTAATTGCTAGTTCATTTATTTTGCTTGCTAGTGTATCATACCATATTTATGAATATGCCAAAATTAAATAAATTTTACTATGAAAAAGCATGACTGTAAATCTCGCACGTGTCTTCTGGTATATCCCTATATAAGTTTTGAACTCAAATCATTCTCTTGAATGGGGTCCCCAGGGACCCCTTCTCTGCACTGGAAATTATATGAAACTTAAGTGGAGAGCACAGATTCAACTTTCTCATAAAAGCTTAATGCATTTGGAGAGAAAGACAGTAAATAGCACATAAATATAATGTTAAAAATTAACATTAGTTAGTGTCTGAACCAAGCACCATGGCAGGTTCCATGTAAGCAAAGAGCAGGTTTGATGCAATGGAGTACCAGGTCGACTTTCCAGGGTGGAGCCACAGAAAGCCTCATTAAAACACAGATGGCTATTGGCAAGCACCCGGCAGCCATGGAAAGAACACAGGCACCAAGAGCCAGGACCACAGCTTTTCAGGCAGAAAGAACAAATAGAAAGTCTGCCTTTTCAGTCATCAAGCAAACCAATGAGAGCCCAGAGAGGGTGAATGGATGGAGACATGGGCCAGGCGAAGCCACTCCATTCCAAGAGAACAGGAACCTGTTGACTGCCAGGGTGCCTTCACTGTTCTCTCTCTCTGGAATTTGAGTTCCTTGGATCAAGTATGGAAACTCCTAGAATGGAGTGTGGAAAGCACTTTTTTTTTCTTTATCTCCTACACAATCTTGGAGCCAAAAAAAAGGAATGAACAATGGCAGTAAAAATGACAGTGTGCTCTCTCCTTAGGGCAATGTAGTGGTGAGGATCTGCACAAAATGAGAGCTGATTCTGACCTGCCATTTCTCAGTAGAGACAGGGTACAACTTGCCCCATCCTCCCTATACACGACACTATCGCGTGCAGCAAGCATGTTGCTCAGGTGAGAAATTGCCATTACAGGCAACCATAAAGTACTGGAAAAACTGGAAGCAGGTGGGATGAGCTTGTAAATGTTTCCAAAAGAGGTAAAATTTTAACAGTATTGGGGAGGAATAAAGGGTTACAGACCGTTGCAGGGGAAGGGTCAGAGCACATCAAGTAAACAGAGAGGGTGGGAAAGGAAGGAGCGGATTAATCATAAACAGGTGAGCTTGACAAGTGGCACCCAGGCCCCAAGCTGCAGTGCAGTGGGGGCCAGAGGCTGTGGGAAAAGACAAAGCCACTGGCAACAAAGAGGTACCCTTGAATAGTTAAAACTCCATGTAACCCAGCCACCTGGCTCAGTGCCCTTAGTATAGAGGTTGGAGAAGTATGTCTTCTGTCCTCTCTGACTTGAGAGTCAGCCGAGGGGGGAGCTTTTTCTTCAGGGGTCAGAAAAATCCACAGAAGAAAACACCAAATGGGCATGAGTATGTTCTCTACCACATCCACAATGATACAGTCTTCTGTCAGTGGAGATTTTGTGGCTGAGTCATTTGTCCTCATTTTACAGTCCATCAAGCCTGGAAAGACCTTCCAGCCCTCTCAACTGGATACTGGACATGCAGCTGAGCCTCTTTGAAAACTGAGGCTCATGGACTTACTGAGCAGACCCAACAGCCCTTCTGAGTAGCTATAATTTACTTCCTACTCTCTTCTTGTTCAACATACAGATCACTGGCCAGAGTGCTGGCTCCCATTTTTTGAACAGGTCACTCCATAATACTTGCAACTACAGCCTGCTAGTCGTCTTTGGGACTCTGGATTATGCTTATCTGCAGGTGTTTCTCAGTCCTTTAGATTTCTCTTCCACATAGAGCTTGTTTTTGCTTATTCAATTTAACACTTTGCATTACTATGTTTTCTCTGAATAATTATACATCTGTCTTTACTCAACTCTCCTCATGTAGCCACCTTTAAATTTATCGCTAATTTCTACTGAATTTAAGGAGCACATTTTTCAGCTGTAACACATTATTTTTCTGAGGGTAATTTTCAAAGCTTTACTGAGTTACCTATACATATAACTGTTTTGTTTCTACAAAAGGTAGAAAATAAGAATATATGGAATTATTCAAATTACCATATCTTAAAAGTATAGGCAAACATTACCTTCCATATTAACTTTAAGACAAGCACATCAACTTAAATGTTCTCTGGGTAGACCTAATCATTAAAACTATACCCACAAATAGACTCCAGATAGCTTAAATCTATATGATAAGTATTCATATTTCTACTTAATTTCATGTGATTTGGGGAGAAATAACTTTTGGCAAAATAACTATCCTAGAATATCACTCTGAGCACACCCCCCACAGGAAAAATTCACTGAGAATACTGTTTCGAGACACATTACAAAGAAAATCGAGACTTTTCTCTCATGTTCTAAGGTGTCTGTTCACCTATGGATCAAAAATGTGATTGCTTTGTGTTTCTTCATTTTATATTGAGTCAAAGTATCTTCTAAATGATTACAAAGTACTAAAAGGGCAATGACTTACTATTTTGACTTCTCAATTTAATCCTTTTAAATTGGGTGGCAGCATGATTTCTAAAAAAGCTTTTTGTTACTCCTGTGTTTTGGTTAATTTAGTATTCCAACTGAGAATGGCATATGTTCTTTAATTTTACTACTGCATTCTGATGGGGTAAGTAATAAGGCATTTGTAGAAATACAGCCAACTCCTTGTGAGAGGTGCACTGAAAATCAGATTAGCGCTACAAACAACACATCGCCCTCTTTATCTTTGTCTTAAAAACACACACACACACACACACACACAAAGGCACTTCAGAGAGGAAGGGGATTAACTTTGGTGGAATAACTCACAACACAGTGCTTTCTGCAGTCTTCGGATTTTGATCGCTGTGCGGTAGGCAGAGAAACGTACATTATTCAGGTCAGCTGAAAGGGAAGGAAGAGCGATTTTAATGCGTGCTTATTATTTAACTTATATTGAATGCCAATAATGCATTTGCTCACTTTGGATGATAGAAAAACATTATGTCTGTCCACAACAAAAAAGAAAGTCTTCTACTAAATTTCACATCTATCGATGTAAGTGAACAATGGTTATCGCCGTGTTCAGATACATTTCAAAGCAATGCTATCTAGACAACTCCAAGGAAGTATTTTCGAAGAGGAGTTGGGGTTCAAAACACAGTGCTTTGGCACACTGAGTTCTCTCAATTGAAGAAGTTTGGAAGAGCCTGAGAAGCAAAGCCTTTCTGACCTTCTCCATTCCTTCAGTCTTCTCCTCCCCCCTCTCGCCTGAAACAAGTCATAGAAACCAGACTTCATCTCCCCAAGGTAATCATAGCACCTTAGACTCTCTTTTCCAAACCAAGCCTTCAAAATGAGAAATGTCACTCTCTGACCTTTCCATTTTCCCTTGCAGACCCTCATGTGACAAGTGTCCTAACCTATACTTGGAGGAAAAGAATGCCACAGCAAGGGAATCTTGCTAAGCTTCCCTCCCCACTATCCATTACCACTAAGTCACACCATTTTGTCTGATCACCTTTCTACACAGATTCATCAAACCTATGCAAAGAAATGTTTTTCTAGAGCATTTGGGTCTTCATTTCTCAGGACTCCAGTGTGACATAAAACTTTGAATAAATAAATTTGCTCTGGTTTTTTCTAGTTAACCTGTCTTATGTTATAGGAGATGGATGAGGAGAGGTAACACACCTTTCTGCCCCTAAAAGGAAAAGAAAGATGAGGAAAAGCAAGCACAGCTACTGTTACAGCCCAATAAATTCCATCTCTGCTGCTAACTGGGATTCTGCTCCTCTAGGGACATGTCCTCAAAGACAACTAGTTTTCCATCAACTAAGCTGTCCATGTGACCACTAACAAAGCTGGTCTTTTTCTATGTTCCTTCCATCCTGATCTATTTGCTTCTTCTACTCTTTCAGAGATCTGGTTACAATATTCCTATAATCACCATTCACATTTTGGAGACAATCGTTATCACAATTTCCTCCTCTGTTCCCTAAAGACAGCGTGTCAGAGACTAGTAGAGTTAGAAGAAAAGATAGGACTCATCAAATTTTGTCCCCTCAATTTAAAAACTAAGCCAACCAGTGGTTCTTCTCCTGCCTATTCAATTTAGCTTCCTCCTCACCTACCCAAATGTAAGATCATGCAAAATTTCAATGTTTAAAGAGGTAAAAAAGGGTGCAAGTACCTCTTGCTAAAATGGGAGGGAGAGGCTTAGGGTCTTACTCTCTCCCCAAAGTATCCCTTTAGCCCAAAAAGAAAACTTGAAAAACCACTGGTCCAACCTAAAGAAGGAAGGCTAAGGAGTCAGTTAAAAGTCAGTCTGTTAGAAGTTGAAACACAAGCAGAATTCTCATCTAGTGTATTTTCTTGCATTTTTATATTAAAATGAATTTAGCTTTTCATTCCATGAACAAAATTAAATTAGGTAAGCTAATTAAATAAAATTTCCTAAGTAAAAAGAGAACTAAAAGCAAATTTAAAACAACAGGTTAGAAGTTATTGTATTGTCAATGTATTCTTCATCTTTTTTACATGCAAAGCTGAAATTTAAGATGACTCATTATATAAGGGAGGTAACACCCGTAACACTTGTATTCCTCCTGGTACACAAACTATTTTTGGCTTAAACTCTTCTAGACTGCACATTCTCTTAGGAAGAGAGGTAATACTTGTTCACTGTTGTAGACAGTTGTTAGAAGTTCAACTGCTTTTACATGCCAATGTTGTGATTCTTTCACTGAAATATACCAGGTAAGTAAAGCTGGTGACAAGCTTTTAAGAATACACAGTTCTCAGGTGTTTAGGTTAATTCATTATTACTAAATAAAACACTCACCAAGGGACTGAAAGAGCTCAGTCATTTTAGGATGATCCCAACAGGTTGTCTGTGTTTGATGGCTGAGGAAAAAAATTAAAATTACGAACATAAATAAAAGCCTATACAATATAATATAGGACACACAGATAATACCCATAAGGATTTTTTTAAATTTTAAAAATATGTGCAAATTAATCCCTATGATGATCACCCAGAAACCCAATACTCATTATTATTTAATATTGGAAACAATATTAAATTTTATTTGAGCAACTGTAGAGTGGAAGGACAGATGAAAAATTCTGCTTTACCTACTTCAAAAGGAATTACAACTGAAAACTAAAACTCAACATAAAAAGTGGCTTTGGTGGACCCTTGGGCCCAAGGCATGACGTGGCCCAGTCAACACAGGCTCTAGAATGGTTCCACTGAACCATTCTCATTTAGGACAAACCCTCTGACAGTGAAAGTGCTGTGTAGAGTTGCTATACATTAGAAGTCCTACTGGAATTTCCAAAGACCAGAGAAGTGAAAAGGTTAAGTCTGAGTAACATAACTGCAGGATCTGCAGGATTCCCTCCTGTGCAACCTCTGGTTTCTCCATCCTCAGTACATTTGCTCTTCCCACCTTCTGAGCATCTAGATTCCCCACTACCCTTTGGTAGGTGTCTCTCTCTTACCATTTTGACTCCACCCCACCCCAGCTTCCCTCAGTATCTAGTGTTATCATTTTGATTTGCAGTACGACATTTTCTTTATGATCCTATTCTTCACTTTAAGAGCAAGTTTTCTCTTTGTGCAAATTCCAAAGCAAATTCATATATTACTTGGAAGTCTAGGGAAACAGATAAATGTACTGCTTCCCTTATGTGTGTGTGTGTGTGTGTGTGTGTGTGTGTGTGTGTGTGTGTTAAACAGCTCACATCTTTGAATGGGTTGGTGGATTTATATTTAAAAATAGTTTACTGTCCCTTATCTAGGTCAGAATAGGGTAATAACATTTAATAGTACTCAAAAGATTTTTTAGATGACACTCAGTTCTTACAAAACTGTTTAGTAAGCTAAGCAAAATAGCAAAGTATACAAGAGAGATGATATTAAGATATTCATAAAAACAAATTTAATGGAAATTATTTATTTAAAACCCTATGTAAAGTATCAAAACGTGGGGCATGTTCCTGGGAAAAGAACATAATTTCTGATATATATACTGGAGATAACAGAATCCTCAAAATAATTCATTATTTGATTTGATAGATATAAAGTTTGTATTTGAAATTCAGTATATGAGATGTTCCGGAAATTCTATAATCTCAAACAAAGCAACATACAATAATTCTACAATGGGAAGATCTGTTTCAGGAAGAGTTGAAAAGATAGCTGGCTCCTCTACTCTTGCTCTTGACTCTAGTGAAAAGGGGCTAGTATCTCCACTTGACCTGAACACCAACAAAAACATCCCACCTTGCTACCTAGATTGCTCTGAAGACCCCCAGGCATATACTAAATATGTCTGACCTAAACAATTTGTAGAAAATCTCAGAATGTCTTTCCTACCACCACCAAGAGTTAAAGAATAATTTGTTGAAAATATAGTATTATTCCAGTGTGTCATCATAGGCTCCCAGTCTTAGACAGCCAACCAAGATTCAGTTGATCTCTTGTCTTCTCTTTCAAGTAATTTCAGTCCTCATGGCAACACTACTTTCCAGAGACAGACAGCCCATCGTGATAAAACAAACCAAAGATCTTGGTAATGCAGAGCTGGACTTTATACTTAAGCCACAAATTCGAGAATGCTTTCTCTAGGACACAGGTGTGGAGTTTCACCTCACACAACTCTATGGAACCACAAAGGCAGAATCACTGTCTTTCAGGCACTGAGAATTCCAGGCAAACACCCGCTCGCTAATGGCTCTCTTTAGTGAAACCACTAAGTACTAGGATGGGAGAGAATACAAACATTTGGCAAACATATGGAGGAAGGAAAATGGAGTCTCCTTTGTGAATTCAATACCGGTTGATTCATTAGGCAGAACTGAAAATAAATACAGCCTCTGGTTACAAAAGTAAATGTATGGCTTGCCAAACAACAGTTAAAAAAAAAGTAGTAGCTGTTTGGCCTTCTTTCTTTCTTTCTTTCTTTTTTAAGTGGGAAGATGGGGTTAGAACAAAATCCACAACAAACCTAAAGCCTCAAAGTATTTGAACAGCTGCAGATTGCTCTGCAACATTTGCCAAAGTGCTTCCAGTTATTCCAGTAGGCAACCAAAACAGAATAGAGCAGCATCCCTGCCCTGCCCCCAATAACACCATTTAGCTTCCACCTAGTCTCTAAGATGAAGGGTGAGTGGGACTTAATATTGGACAGCTTGATAATCTAGCATGCAAAATTGTAATTTCATTACTAAAAATCCTCTTTTTAAAAGGCAACAGACACAGGAATTGGTCCAAGAAAAAAATGAAAAATCTAACAGAGAAGCAAATCTCTCATGAAGCAAGTAATAGTTAGAATAGGTGACATCTAATTAGGGTGCCCAACCATCCCAGTTTAATTAGGGGGTATCCTGCAAAACTTAAGTTATCTTTGAACTTCTTGAAACTCTGCAAATTGAAGAAAACTGACAATAGTGCATGATTTTTTGTGCAAGGTAAGCAGCCTTGCCCAGGTGCCCGGGTTTCCAGAAGAAGCCTATGACAGGATTTGTGAGTTCTCATTAGTTGGGGGAACTTGGCATGGAAGAGCTGAGGAGTTGTAGGTGGGACAGGATGCAAGGTTCTGGGTGGGGAGTGAGGGGTCCTGGAGGCAGGGCTGTCCCACAGGGCGCCTGCCAACCTGCACCTGTCTGTGAAGTATGTAGAGTGGGCAGAAGTTACAGTCGCCACTGCCAGGTGGCTCTGTCCTTTGCTTCTCTTGTTCCTAGCTCAGTTGTGATGCAGCAGCCACCCTCCCCACTGCCTCCCCAGCTCTCAGTGACCCCGACTGTTTCCCGACATAGCAGAGGTAAGGTCAGCACAGCAGACAGGGCCAGACTGGAGTAACAGGAGCTGAGCTGGGTTTACTGGGGAACAGCCACTGACCTATGCTTCTGACAGCCCCACGAGACACCTTGAGGAGGCCATCCCTCCCCACATCCTCCAGCCCCATGGACGCTTTGATGGAGGGACAACTGCTCAGGTTCTAATGGTCCCGCTCTCCTCTCTTTCCCCTGCAACCAGTTCAATCTCATCCCTCCCAGCAGCAACGCTTCCATCCCCGGAGGAACTGAAGATTGTCCTGGACATGACCTGTGACCTCTGTGAGTGGAGGAAAGGGTGATCTATGTCTCTTTCCCCAGCAGCCTGGACCAGTCCCAGTCCCTGCCCCCCCCACCTCCCCTTTCCTCAGGGGAGCTGGGGAATTCCTGCCAAATACCTTGAATGGGAAGAGCCTTGAAGCAAGCAGGGCTGGGGTCCGGCAGGGGTAGGGAGTTCCTGCTCTGCCCCTGCCTGTTCCACCTAATCTTGCCCTCCCATCCTCTCATCTATTCCCCCACTGGAGATGGAAGATCTTTTATTTTCTATTATTTTGACCTCAGACTTAGGACCCTGTTCTTTCTTGCCCAGTAACTTGTGTGACCTGTGTGAGAGACAGACAGATGCCTCACAAAGATGGTTAGACAAGGACTTTTACTTATCATTACATAAAAATATTTTTTAAATAAATACAATAAAAGTTTAAAAATGCTTTGGTGTAATTATTTAAAAAGTCTCTTTACTCTTAAGTTTTCCAGTTGGGATAATATACAGTCCCTCCATTTTATAGGCTTTAATTGAACATTGTATGGGAAGGTTAAGAAGCAGTATATACCTCTACCTATTATTTAGACTAATGTAGAAAACCACTGGAAGTAAAACACAAATACTATGAGTTGGTGTGCCAACACGTGAAACAATAAAATACTGAACCATAATATGGCAATGAAGCAATGACCCAACAGGAAAGTCCAGTATTTTTGATAAACAGGTAAGAGACTGATTTCTGGGCAAATGACCACTGTGAGAAAGAGATTTTTTTTTTAAGCCCATTTGTCTTCATTAAAATAGTCTCATTTTTTTCCCCCTGTAACCTTAAAAACTGATCAAAAGGCAATCTGCTTATCAAAAATCTGACACATAGCCAAATACACTTAGCTGTTACTTCCTATCCAAGTTTATGCTTGAAACTAGATTTGCTATTTATCATTTCATTCCAATTATAAATGCAAGAGAAAAACCCAAAGGTGAGTGAGTCAATTAAAAATATAAAAGTGAGAAAAACAACTATTATCTTGCTCTGGGATAAGACAATCACAGAAAGAGAACTATTTCTTCCTTGCTGTGCATCATGTAAGATAATGCACTAGGTCAAGGTGTATAAAGTTAATTACGGTAACCACTGTAATTCCAGTACTCGGGTTGTGTGTTCCTATGTGAAAGCTTCTCTTGTTTTACATGTAAACTCAATCCATGTTGTAATGCTATGATTTAGGTGACAAAATCATTACTGTTTTACACTTAAAGGAGACTAGGGCAGACAGTGCTTGGACAATTTGCCTATGGTCATATGCATGTAGCAGAAATGGGATTTGAACACAGATGGTGTAATTTAAGCCTGAGCTCTTGATATGGAAGTATATTTGCAAAATGAAGGTTTTTAAATATTTCTTGATGAGTCTATCCAAATTTCAGCACACAGTTTGTCATTATAATCATTACAAATAACCTCATCTCCCTTGCTTCTCTCTTACCCCTAGCAAAGTCCAGGCTCAATTACTTGCCTGTTTGGATCTTAAGCAGCTGTGGATGAATACAACTGGAGAAAAGCACTCAGCAGACAGACTGATTTTACTTTAAATATTTGATTTCAAACCTCAAATGCCCCACTGCTGCCAAGTGCACTCCATTCCCTAATAAACTTACTTCTCCAAATTCTAAGACAATAACTTCTTGCTGCCTTCTCATTCCCAAACCAAAAGTAACTTTCCTTCCCCACCATGGTATCATTTTGCTTCATCTCACACTTCATTGAAAAACCAAACACCACTAGATTAGGACTCCA